AAAATTTCAAGTATGTAACAGATTTTTATCTTTTAATTATACTTAATTTTACGATTTTTATATATTTTTATAAATTTACATCAATTTTGAGCAGCTATAGCTATACTCATTAGCAATAGCCATTAATATTTAAATACAAAATAGCACTGTAAACATATTCAAGAAACATTGATAATTTTTCAGAGTATATTATTAAAATTATTATTAAAATATTATTAAAATTGTAATTTTTATGAATAAAGCCATGTGCTAAAACTTTGTAAAGTAAAACTCGCAGACATATTATAAATAATTTTTTCATATTGTTTTTAAACATCCTGCAATTTATTAAAGGGTTATTAAAATTATACGGGGTGTAATTGAAAAAACATATATGGAGCACACCATCAGACACAGGACAACAATCTAAATCGAAAAGTCCTAAATCATTTTTTGATCTGATTGTGAGTTTTCTTTTCGTTGTTATATGATGTTAAAATTAATTAATTAGCCTATCTATAGTGGAAAGCAGGAAAGATACAGCGGGGATGGGAGTAGCGAGAAAGCCTTCCGCTGTATAGACAGGCACTGATTAGCTAACTTTAACATCGTATAACAACAAAAAGAAAGCTTAGATAAAAAAATGGTTTGAAACTTTTTGATTTGGATTGTTGTTCTGTATCTGATAGTGTGTTGTCCTTTCAGGCCTCTCTACCTCAAACCTCCTTGAACAATCCGTAGCATATTTCAATCAAATTATACAATAAGATCTAAAATTTATTTATAAACAACATATTTGATAATTAAACAGTTTTCCAAAGCTATCGTATTCTGTCAGAAATTACATGAAAAATTATATTTATCTCATTTTCTCATTAATTTCTCGTTGTATGCAAAACAGATATATAACCAGCTGATGTTTTTATTAGCTAAAAAGATATTTCTTAAATAGAGTAATGCGATTAATAATGTTATTCTGATGTGTAATTAATCGCAAAGTTGAAGATTGTGCATAGAGGTATAAAAAAATTAATTTTGTAAACATTTAAAATATTGTGATACAGAGATTATTATATAAGAGATTTCAACAAGATTTTAGTGTCATTTGAATACTTTTATACAACAATAGTAATCTAACATTAAAATATCTTACCCCACAAAATGTAGCCATTGTCATGGGAAACACTTTTCCAGCGGTGAGATAGATCGGTTTAGCGCCTCTGATCAGTAATGGCAATAAATCCCTCGCATTTTTTGAATCCACCGAGTACCATTCGTTACTGTACGCCGCATAATATATCTCGTTACACTTAAAAGAGCATCAAGAGTATTTTTAGATACAAATTAATATATGCACGTTGCTTCATAAAAAAATAAAAATCAATCATTTATCTTAAAAATATTTGTATAAATTAATATATTTATATACAAATTACGAACGCGATTAGTTGATAATTTATATTTTCTTAAAAATTTGCTACACCTATGATTATACACATACAAACACTTTACGATCATGAACATTCTGTTGTAAAACAATCTATATTATTTTATTCGTAAAAAAGTTTACGTTAAATATATCTTCTATGATATTTAATTTAATTAAATAAAATCGTAAAAAGAATTTTTTTGTATTCTATATAGAACTCAATATTAAATTTTGCTATGTACATACAATAAATTTGATTTTAATAGTACGTTAATCAAATCTTCCTTAGATTGAATAAAATTGATTATATATATAATTTGTTTGATTTTTATAATAAAAGAAAATGATATATAATTTACCTGGGCCACTAAAATCTCGCCGAGAGCACAATATAAGCACATATGCGCAAAAATATTGAAAACGTTGGATGTGAAATATAACAAGTGAGCGAGCGATAGATCATTTCCTTCATCGAATAGCTAATCAATTCATGTCAATTAAAATTTAGAATTTAATTTAATTAAAATAGGGACTCGAATACTTGAATAAGTTGCAAATTTATGATAAGATATTATATAAAAATATTTCTTTTTCACAATAGTTTTTTTGTTACACATTTCAAACGCGTTTGATCTCTTTTATCGTTAGAGATCAATACAAACCATGCTCTTGGACACTTACGCTAATTATCCGGAAACCGTAGAAAGCAAAGAGTATCGCAAAGTACACGAATAACGCGAGAAGCGTTATATTGTACGTATCTTCGATCACATCGATGGCTCTATAAAAAAAATATTATTTCGCGTGTCATAAGATGAAGAATCGAGCGTGCATACTTCTTTTTTTTTATGCGGATTCATCGGCATTTGCACGTGTATAAAGTAGCAAACCTGAGTAAACGGACATGCTTCGCAACGCAATTTTTCAGCATGTCGCATGAATTGGTATATTTATCCAAATGCGCCAACCGATCCGTAAGAATGTCCAATTGACCACATATGTGAAATATCAGAAGACCGAGAAAATTATCGATTCCGGTGTAAGACATGATGGCGAGAAGAATGTAGACGGCCTGACTGATAAATGTCAGCTCGTACTGCGGCCGCCTCGTCACGTCGTAGATGTAATGGCTTTGCAGCGGCATCGGTCTTCCCGGATCGGTAATGTTCGGCGTCAGTCTCATCGAAACGCCGAAACCTGGCAGAACGATGATAAAGAAGCACGCTACTCCCATTATGCAATACGCGCATGTGATAATTATGCGCGCGCTTCGCGCTCTCCTGATCATCATCCTTCTCTCTCGCGTGCTCTTGGACCTTACCCAATCCTCCGCGATCATGTCCATGATCGGTATGATAGCTTCAAAAGTGCCAATATATTAAATGATTCGAATGCGTATTTAAGAGTACCGCTAAATTGAGATAGAGAGATTACGTTCAAGATTAATCTTAAATACAAAATAAGAAAGTTTAGAAAAAAAGAAGAAAGTGCGAAAAATAATATTTCTTGTTCCTCAAATGTTTGACAAAAAGGAATTTATACTATATACTTAATTTCCGCAATTTCTGAAATTCTTTCTGCACGACAACCTTGTAATTTTTTTGATTCTTTTTATATTATTTGTATAAAATGAACTATCTTAGGTAAATGTTCAGATTAACTTACACCTCACGGATCGTTTTCATTTTTACATATATTATAGAGGGCACGTTCCTAAGTAACACACACTTTGAATTTTGTGGCGCTCCCCTATAATATATGTGAAAATGAAAACGATCCGTGAGGTGTAAGTTAATCTGAACATTTACCCTATCTTAATTCAATTTATGTGTATATCATTTATCGCATTTTATAGCATAAAATTACGGCAGATATATTTGCGTCTCTACCTTCTTTCTTCCACCAAAAGATCACGATTCTTATCGAGCAGCTCACGGCTGGCAAAGTGAATTGTAAATTATCAATCATCAGCATGATATCCCCGTGAATTCTTATCAGGGAGTGCATAGAAGGGATCAAAACGCCGAGAGTTACCCCCAGAAAAACGAGGAGCACTCGAATATCGCATAATAACTTCTGTCGCGGGTTTTGCGCGGTTTTAGGCCAGAGTCCGATTAAGTTGAGAGCAATACGATTTAGTTTCACCGCCCATTCAAAGTCTATCTGTAAAAATCTCAATAAGTCGACGTTCATGGAAATCATAGCATAATGTCAAACATGTCACAAATAAATCTACAATTAAATGCAAAATATCGCAAAATGCGTGAAGTAAATTATTTAAAAGCCATATATAATACTTCCTGGTAATTATGCACACAAATTCAGTGTAATTAGTAAAAAATAATAATAATATTTATATTAATAACAGCAATAAAAATCATAACAATTTCAAATCGCCGTAATCACATATAATTTACGTTTCTTTAGAATCGGCACAACACTAAGTAAGAGGAAATGGATGGGAAGAGATTTTGCTAAAATGCGATATGAGAAAATAAAAAACGTTGCACCACGAGTATAAAAATATTTTTTACAAGACTGCCCCTTTTTCCAATCGCAATCATCACTGTAAGCACCTCGGTATCCGGAGTATTTAGAACCATCCATGTCAAAAGTTATCTGAAGACTGGTGTCCGCTCCTTTTTCGCGAAACGACGTTACCTCCTGTATAGCAAGAGCGTCTCTCGCGCATGCTTCGATAGTGGAAGATCTTAAAAAGGTCGGGTAATAAACTCGCAAAAAACATATATTAAATATTCCACAATAATCGATCCTTGTTTCAAGTTTCAGCACCGTACGCATCGCGCAAAATATTCGTGCGAGCAAAAAATTGCGTAATAATAGACGAGAGAAAAAAAGCGGTCGCGTGTACACCTGTTATATTCTCACATTTCTGTAATCGATTATAATAGTCCACAGCTTCGCTATAGTAGATAAACGATTATATAGATTCTATCACACGCATCATCTACCCTCTTTTTCCGAAGGAAAATGGATAAATTGAAAAAATGGTTATCTAAAGTCTTAAAAAAAAATCGTTCTTGTTGCGTAGAGCATATTAAACAAGAGTTCTAATAGCAGATAAAAACTAATTAAGGGTCATTACATTCTTTTTATTCTGTTTTTAAACATCCTGCAATTATTAAAGGATTATTAAAATTATATAGATAACTTATTATAACATTTGCTTATTATTAAATAATTTGATTTGGCTTCAGGTTTATAAAAAGATGTACATAAGTATGTGCATTTTAATTTTAATTTTAGGCATCTCTACCTCGAACCTCCTTGTACAAGCAGCAAATTTCCGTAGCATATTTCAATCAAATTATGCAATAAGATTTATAATTTACTTATAAACAATATATTCGATAATTAAACAGTTTTCCAAAGCTATCGTATCCTGTCAGAAATTATATGAAAAATTATATTTTTTCATTAATTTCTCGTTGTGTGCAAAACAGATATATAACCAGCTGATGTTTTTACTAGCTAAAAAGATATTTTTTAAATAGTAATACGATTAATAATGTCATCCTAATGTGCAATTAATCGCAAAGTTGAAGAATGTGTAAAAAGGTATAAAAAAGTTAATTTTATAAACTTTTAAAATATTGTGATACAGAGATTATTATATAAGAGATTTCAACGAGATTTAAATGTCATTTAAATACTTTTGCACCACAATAGTAATCAAACATTAAAATATCTTACCCCACAAAATGTAGCCATTGTCATGGGAAACACTTTTCCAGCGGTGAGATAGATCGGTTTAGCGCCTCTGATCAGTAATGGCAATAAATCCCTCGCATTTTTTGAATCCACCGAGTACCATTCGTTACTGTACGCCGCGTAATAAATCTCATTACACTTAAAAGAGCATCAAGAGTATTTTTAGATACAAATTAATATATGCACGTTGCTTCATAAAAAAATAAAAATCAAGCATTCATCTTAAAAGTATTTGTATAAATTAATATGTTTGTATACAAATTACGAACGCAATTAGTTGATAATTTATATTTTCTTAAAAATTTGCCACACCTAAGATTATACATATGCAAATACTTTACGATCATGAACATACTGTTGTAAAACAATTTATATTATTTTATATTCTTAAAAAACTTTACGTTAAATATATCTTCTATGATATTTATTTTAATAAAAATTAAATAAAACCGTAAAAAAAATTTTTATATTCTATATAGAACTCAATATTAAATCTTGATATATACATATAATAAATTTAACTTTAATAGAACGTTAATCAAATCTTTCTTAGATTGAATAAAATCAATTATATATTTAATTCACTTAAGTTTTATAATAAAGGAAAATGATATAAAATCTACCTGGGCCACCAAAATCTCGCCAAGAGCACAATATAAGCACATATGCGCAAAAAGATTGAAAACGTTGGATGTGAAATATACCAAGTGAGCGAGCGATAGATCATTTCCTTCATCGAATAGCTAATCAATTCACCTCAATTAAAATTTAAAATTTAATTTAATTAAAATAGGGACTTGAATATGAAGTTGCAAATTTATTTCTTTTTCACGTTTTTTTGGGACACATTTTAAACGCGTTATTGATCTCTTTTATCGTTAGAGATCAATTTAAGCCATGCTTTTGGACACTTACGCTAATTATCCGGAAACCGTAGAAAGCAAAGAGTATCGCAAAGTACACGAATAACGCGAGAAGCGTTATATTGTACGTATCTTCGATCACGTCGATGGCACTGTAAAAAAATATCATTTTGCGTGTGTCATAAGGTGAAGAAGCGAGCGTGCATACTTTTTCTCCCTTTTTTTTTATACGAATCCATTGGCATTTGTGTGTGTATAAAATAGCAAACCTGAGCAAACGGACATGTTTCGCCACGCAGTTTCTCAACATGTCGCGTGAATTGATATATTTATCCAAATGTATCAAACGATCCGTGAGAATGTCCAATTGGCCACATATGTGAAATATCAACAGACCGAGAAAATTGTCGATTCCGGTATAGGACATGATGGCGAGAAGGATGTAGACGGCCTGACTAATAAATGTCAGCTCGTACTGCGGCCGCCTCGTCACGTCGTAGATGTAATGGGTTTGCAGCGGCATCGGTCTTCCCGGATCGGTAATGTTCGGCGTCAGTCTCATCGAAACGCCGAAACCTGGCAGAACGATGATAAACAAGCACGCTACTCCCATTATGCAATACGCGCACGTGATAATTATGCGCGCGCTTCGCGCCCACTTGATCATCATCCTTCTCTCTTGCGCGCTCTTGGACCTTACCCAATCCCCCGCGATCATGTCCATGATCGGTATGATAGCTTCAAAAGTGCCAATATATTAAACGATTTGAATGCGCATTTAAGAGTACCGCTAAATTTAGACAGAGAGACTACGTTCAAGATTGATCTTAAATAAAATAGAAAAAATTTTATTTTATTTTTAACTTTATTTTAATTAAAATAGAAAAAAGTTTAAAAAAAAAGAAGAAACTGCGAAAAATAATATTTCTTGTTCCTCACATGTTTGACAAAAAGGAATTTATATTATATACATAATTTCCGCAATTTCTGAAATTATTTCTGTACGACAAACTTGTAATCTTTTTGATTCTTTTTATATTACTTGTATAAAAGGGACCATCTTAATTCAATTTACGTGTATACCATTTATCGCATTTTATAGCATAGTATTACGGCAGATATATTTGCGTTTCTACCTTCTTTCTTCCACCAAAAGATTACGATTCTTATCGAGCAGCTCACGGCTGGCAAAGTGAATTGTAAATTATCAATCATCAGCATGATATCCCCGTGAATTCTTATCAGGGAGTGCATAGAAGGAATCAGAACGCCGAGAGTTACCCCCAGAAAAACGACGAGCACTCGAATATCGCACAATAACTTCTGTCGCGGGTTTTGGGCGGTTTTAGGCCAGAGTCCGATCAAGTCGAGAGCAATACGATTCAGTTTCACCGCCCATTCGAAGTCTACCTGTAGAAATCCCAATAAGTCGAGGTTCATGGAAATCACCGCATAATGTCAAACATGTCACAAATAAATCTACAATTAAATGCAAAATATCGCGTGAAATAAATTATCTGAAAGCCATATATAATATTATCTGATAATTATGCACACAAATTCAGTGTAATTAGTTAAAAATAATAATAATATTTATATCTCAGCAATAAAAATCATAGCAATTTCAATTCGCCGTAATCACATATAATTTACGTTTCTTTAGAATCGGAACATTAAGTAACAGGCGATGGATGGGAAGAAATTTTTGCTAAAAAGAGATATGAGAAAATAGAAAACGTTGCACCACGAGTATAAAAATATTTTTTACAAGACTGTCCCTTCCTCCAATCGCAATCATCACCGTAAGCACCTCGATAGCCGGAGTATTTAGAACCATCCATGTCAAATGTTATCTGAAGACTGGCGTCCGCTCCTTTTTCGCGAAACGACGTTACCTCCTGTATAGCAAGAGCGCCTCTCGCGCATGCTCTCGATAGTGGAAGTTATTAAAATGGCCGGACAATAAACTCGCGAAAAAACACATATTAAATATTCCACAATAATCGATCCTTGTTTCAAGTTTCAGCAGTGTACGCATCGCGCAAAATACTCGTGCGAGCAAAAAATTTCGTAATAATAGACGAAAAAAAGAAAGCGGTCGCGTGTACACCTGTTATATTCTCACGTTTCTATAGTCGGTTATAGTTGTCTATTGCTTCGTTATAGTTGATAAACGATTATATAGATTCTATCACACGCATCATCTACGCTTTTTTCCGGAGGAAAGTGAATAAATTTAAAAAATGTTTATCCCAAGGTCTAAATAAAATTTGTTCTTGTTGCGTAAAGCATATTAAACAAGAATTCTAATAGCAGATAAAAACAAATTAAACGTCATTACATTCTTACATTCACAAGAGACTTCGAATTCTGTTTATACTTATGTACACATCATTGGAGAATGTATCGGTATATAGTGATGTAAAACGCAAGAAAATTTTTTCGCTTTAACAAACATTGGATTAAATCATCCACGAATACTTATTTTGATTAATATATCTTTGTTATTATTCTACTCGTGCATAATTATCGAATTGGAGTTCTATTACACCTACTCATATCGTATTGGAATAAATGCTACACTAACTTGATTTTTATACTTTTATCCTCGGTTTACCAAACTCGCTTTATCAAAACTGATAAGTAGCCAGCCGATGTTTTTAATAGATAAAGTATATTATTAAAATTGGGAATTTTTATGAATAAAGCCATATGCTAAAGCTCTGTAAAGTTAAAGTCGCAGACATATAAGAAAAATTTTTGTTCTGTATTTAAACATCCTGCAATTATTAAAAGATTATTAAAATTATATAGATATCTTATTATAACATTTGCTTATTAATTTGATTCGACTTCGGGTTCATAAAAAGATGTACATGAGTATTTGCATTTTAATTTTAATTTTAGGCCTCTCTACCTCAAACCTCCTTCTACAAGGAGTTTGTTTTCATAGCATATTTCAATCAAATTACTCAATAATATTTATAATATATTTACAAACAATATATTCGATAATTAGTTTTTCAAAGCTATTGTATTCTATCAGAAAATACATGCAAAATTATATTTATTTCATTTCTTCATTAATTTCTTGTCGTGTGCAAAACAGATATATAACCAGCTGATGTTTTTATTAGCTAAAAAGATATTTTTAAAATAGTATTACGATTAATAATGTCATCCTAATGTGCAATTAATCGCAAAGTTGGAGATTGTGTATAGAGGGGTATAAAAAAAATAATTTTGTAAACTTTTAATATTGTGATACCAAAATTATTATATAAAAGAATTCAACGAGATTTTAGTGTCATTTAAATGCGTTTTACACAACAAT